ACCGAGATGACTGAAATGATAAGGGCTGTTTCTCTGCAGCCAACACGCAGACCAAGTACCAGGGTCTGCTGGGGGTGTGGTCAGCCAGGACATTTAGCCAGAGACTGCCCCAAGGCACACCGGACCCAGGGAAACGATGGGGGGCCCGCATAAAGGAGAAGATGCGGAACCAAGCCCAAAGACTCCCCAACCAAACCACAGCTTTATTATCACCAACTCAGACATCCGAGCAAGGAGCCCGACAGCACAGCCGGGGGAGCCAGACTCTACGGCTTCCTGAAGAAGATGACAGCACATGCGTGGAGCCTGTCGTCGCGGTGGGCCGTGCTGGTGGTGGGGATTCCTGCTATGTCCCTGTCGATGTGGAAGGGGTGCCCTGCACTGCACTGGTGGACACAGGCTCTCCAGTAACCCTGGTGAGAGCAGATGTGTTGCCCAGTGGGACTATGTTAGAGCCGACAGCGGTGCGTCTACGCACAGTCACAGGAGAGCTGGCGCCTATGAAAGGAAGAGGCATGCTGACTGTGTCGGTGGGGGGAGTTGAAGTGCAGCACCCCGTGTGGATAGTGGATGTACAGGACCCGTGTATTCTGGGTTTGGACTTTTTAATAGGCGTCTGGCTGCCTACAGAAAGTTTGTACGGGGTTTTGCTTGCACTGCCGCACCCCTGTTCCAGCTGCTGCAGAAGGACAGGGATTTCCTGTGGTCTGAGCAATGTCAAGCAGCGTTTGACAGCCTTCGGCGTGCCTTGAGTGAATCCCCGGTTCTCACCCCAGCCAACCCCAGGTTGCCGTTCACCCTGGACACAGACGCTAGCGGCGTTGGTGTAGGCGGAGTGCTCTCCCAGACTACACCAGAGGGGGAGCGGGTGGTGGCATACTTCAGCCGGGCGTTCAACAAAGCAGAGCGACGATACTGCGTCACCCGCAGGGAACTTTTGGCAGTGGTGCTGGGCATCAGACACTTTAAGTACTACCTGTGTGGGCAGGCGTTCACAGTGAGGACTGATCACTCTGCATTACAGTGGCTCATGACGTTCAAAGAGCCAGAAGGGCAGGTCGCCAGGTGGCTAGAAGAGCTCCAAGCTTTCGACTTCAGGGTGGAGCACCGGGCTGGGGTGCGCCACACAAATGCAGACGCTCTCTCCCGCCGCCTATGTGCCGCCGGCGGATGCCACTATACTGCGAGAAGAGATAGACTCGTGAAAAGGAGCTGCTGGAGGAGGACATCGTCTGTGCGGCAGCGCGGCAAGTGGAAGAGGTTATCTGCCGGGAGCTCCAGACAGTGGACGTGGCAGAGTGGAAGCAACAGCAAGAGCTGGACGCCGTTCTACAGCCTGTACTGCAGTGGGTTGAGTCGCAGCATCGGCCACCGTGGGAGGAAGTGGCAGTGCTCTCCAAAGCAACCAAGGGGCTGTGGTCTCAGTTTGAGACTCTACATCTGTGTCAGGGCGTACTACAGCGGGCGTGGAAAGGGGCCAGCAACGGGGGAGAAGAGGTGGCAGGTGGTGGTCCCAAGGGGTCTGCAAGAGGTCGTACTCAAGGCCATGCATGGAACGGCAGGCTCTGGGCACTTTGGCGTCACTAAGACTCTCCGGCGCCTTCGACAGGGCTGCTACTGGGGGCCGTGCCGGAGGGATGTCGAAGACTTCTGTCACCGCTGTGATCCGTGTATGGCTCGGAAGGGCCCCCCTGGTCGTTCCCATGCTCCGCTGCAACAGTTTCCCGTGGGGGCCCCGATGGAGAGAGTAGCGGTTGATGTGGTGGGGCCTCTACCTTTGTCAAACAGGGGTAACCGCTACGTTCTCACGGCCATAGACTATTTCACAAAATGGCCAGAGGCGTATGCTCTCCCTGATCAAGAAGCAGAGACAGTCGCAGATGCCTTGGTGGCCGGCATGTTCAGCCGGTTCGGAGTGCCGGAGACCCTGCACAGTGACCAGGGGAGACATTTTGAGTCCCGGGTGTTCGCCTCCATGTGCTCACAACTGGGCATGCACAAAACACGCACCTCCCCCTTGCGATCTCAGAGCGACGGACTAGTCGAGAGATTCCATCGCACCATGGGACAGCAGCTGGCCATCCTCACGTCTCAGCATCAGCGCAACTGGGACGAGCATCTGCCCCTTGTGCTCATGGCATGTCGTTCTGCAGTCCAGGAGTCCTCAGCCTGTTCTCCTGCCCTCCTCATGTTGGGGAGAGAGCTTCGAATCCCTGCTGTTTTGGCGTTTGGTCGGCCACCAGATTCCCTGGACACTCCTCCAGGGCCTGAGTACGCCAGGAGACTTCAGGACCGCCATGATTCCGCTCATCCCTTTGCCCGCGATCAGCAGAAAAGTGCTGGGGTGAGACAAAAGCGGAACTATGACACCAGGACAAGAGGGCAGCATTTCCGGGCCGGGGAGCTGGTTTGGGTCTACAGCCCACAACGGAAGAAAGGCCGGTGCCCAAAACTGGACAGTCAGTGGGTTGGCCCCTGCAGAGTACTGGAGAGGGTGGGGGAAGTGGTCTACAGGGTACAGCTGCCACCAAAGGGGAGAAAAGTTGTGCTCCACAGAGACAGGTTGGCTCCGTACAGAGGAGTCGCTTCTCCACAGGCCCAAGGAACATCGGGGCCCACAGCCGTCCCCTCGACACCCCCACTCAGGTCCCCCGGCGAGCAGAGGAGCAGTCCCCCATCAGGGACTGAGTGTCCCCCCATTTTTTCGTCGCCTGGGCCAGAACCGGCAACCCCTGTCCTCCTGACCCCACTCCCCCTGCCGAGAAGGCAGTCACGACCCCCGGGTCATTTCAGAGACTTTGTTTGGTAGTAAAGTTATAGTGACACCCCTCGGTTCCTGTAGAGGGCAAGAATGCGCCCTGGTCTCACTGGAAGGGATGGTAGTCCACCCAGACCTTCCTAGTCAAAGTACAGTGTGTAGTTATAGTGTTGGTGCTGGGTTTTATTTGTTCCTCATGGGCGAGGAATTTTGTAGTGGGGGGGTAGTGTAGTTGGGCCTGTGGTTGGGGGAGCAGACGGGGGAGGGCGGGAAGTTGTGACGTAGACACTGTTATATATATGGGTATGTGTAGGAGTTAGTGTTAGTGTGAGGTTGAACCCACAAGGTGTTCCTGAACCTGTGATCATCTGTAAAGAAGAAGAGTTATTAAAGCCTAATAACTAGCAGCCTGTTTCCGACTCCCTTTGTGATCGTTACAATACTAATAATAAAGTCAAAATAGTTTTTAGAATATTGAATTATAGTGTATTTTTTCAAAAAAGCAGTTACTGGTATACGATCAAAACTGGTATCTAAAGGGTTACATTTGTATCGTAATTAATTAAATTATTATTAAATTATTAAATTATTCATGAAAATGTGTAGGAACAAATTGAAATTGTTTACGAAATATGAAAATATATTAAATATATATATATATATTAAAATATTATACAGATAATACAAAATAGGACCAATGTTGTCAATGGCTGCCTACTCCACTCTCCCCCATCTCATAGAAGTTTCCAAAGATTTTCATAATCATGCTTTTTGGTCTCAATTTTTCTGGCTCTTGCTTTCGGATTGTTAGCTAAGCAATGGCTTTGAACCCAAGTCTTGACATATACCTCTGGTCTGAACTTGTTCAGTGGAGGGCCAACACACTTGATGAAAAGCAAGGCTGACATGCTTTTTACCTCTAGGGAGCTTCTAGTTGTGGTTAAAATGTTCATCTGACTAAGACTAAACCCACGTTCACACTCAGCTGTGGAGATGACCAAAGTGTTCACTGCTTGAAGGAGGGGTTTCAGCTCTTCTGGTGCTGGTTGTATCATTTCATCAACAGTTTTGAGTCTGACCAGCTAGCTAACACGAGAGAAAAACGTAGCTAAACTCCAAACTAAGTTGTTATTGCTGCTTATGTCCATAGATTCCACCTTTAGTGACTAAAGTAATAAGTAATGACTAAGATTACTGACTCTTGACTTACCTGAAATGTTATTTTTAAATATGAAGTCCCTCAGATCGCGTTGTCCTCCTGGTTGCTTGGCCATTGTGATGATCGTTACCTGCGCTTCTGGCATCGATCAAACAGGCGCATCACGGCACTCTGGCGCGCTCTAGGGAACTCGCATAGTATAGCGTCAGTGACTTGGTAAAAATGTCATTGCGTGTGTGCGTGCTCACTCGCCCACAGTATTTTACTCAAAATGCGCACAATTAATGTTGAAATAGCAGTAATACCAGTGCCACGTTCATTGATAAAATTACATAAGGGATGGAAAGGGGGGATGGCAGTTTTAGAAGGGGGATGATTTTGACCGTTTTTATTTCAGGGGGGATGCCATCCCCCCTCATCCCCCCTCATCCCCTCTCAACTCGAGTACTGAGTACAGGGGTGCACATAACTGGTAGACAGGTTATGTGCGTAATCTGAAATGCGTACCGTCACTTGTGTCACGAAGCGCATTTGCGTACCGACGTACTTGTGAAGCTTTTCCAGAAGGCGGTTAGATCACCGGACGACAGAGTCGGTCTCCGTGTGCACAGACAGGGCTGCTGTTAACGTCGGTCTGTACAACGGAATTGTGCCAAAACTGCGCCAACCGGCTGCGGAGGGAGACTCCCCCCCCCTTCACTGGAGAATAACGTTCACACTCTGTGGTCAGGAAGTACTCCACTAGCCCCCCCCCTCTGTCGACTTTCCTGAAGTACTCCCCCGTTGATAGAAATCAACACGTAATGAATTAAGACCCCACGGTTTGATGATTGATAGGTGTGTGGGCTGTCTTTCATTTTGACACGCAGAAAAATGTTATAATAAACATACTATATCCGCCTTCTTTCATTTATCTTTCCATTCCCACAACAATATACATAAAGAAATGGCATATTTTGGACATAGTTCGAATGGTGATTAATCATGATTAATTAATTTTTAAGCTGTGATTAATCTGATTAAAATTTGTAATCGTTTGACAGCCTTACAATAAATATATGAAGCTGTAGGGTGATGGCTGACCTGTTTGTATCCGCTGTAACCTGACAGGATGAAGGGCCCCGTGGCATCCTGAGCTAACGCCTGCTCCGACTGCTTTACCCCACATCGGTGGATGTTCCACTGGATGAACTGAAAACACATGTTCACTGTGTGCTATAGCAAACATGCTCTGATACATTGAGACATGTCTTTTAAAGTGACTTTAAGAAATACTAGACACCAAGTTAACCTGTACCTTGCCATCTTCTCCGATGCTGAAGACTATTTTCATCGTAGCTGAACTCCACACTGTACACTTCTCCGTCGTGAGCTCTCCAGCTCATCGCACTCTCATACCGCTGCATATCTACAGCAAGGAATCCAGAGACATTTTCTATATTGCCCGATCAATATTCACACATTTAAGAAGTCTATGAGATTCAAACGTTACAGAAAGTACCCAAAAAAGTAGAACTATGTTTACATCAATTGCTCCTTGATCACCACGAGGGAGGGTGCAGGGCCTTGCAGTAAAAACAGCTAGTAATAGTGGTCAAACAGGAAATAATTTCAACTGTCCAGCTCTCCCCAGAGGCCAACTGTGCTGTGTAAAGTACTGACCTGCTTCACAAAGATATAACACACAGGACTGATTTAAACTTTTGAAATGGTTGTAAAAAGTGTAAAAAATAAGAAATGATCATGGTTTTTAATGATAGTCAGACAATTGAGTCCGACTGACCAAACAGGCGGATGACTCCGTCAGCGGCTCCGGTCACCAGCAGGTTCCCGTTGTGGTTAAAGGCGGTGCAGTTCACGGCTACTGGGTCAGGTTCTAAAGAGAATTGGAGCTGAGGGACAGAAAGATTATACTCAGGCGTGGGCACTGTGCAGTATTCTGGTTTAAATATAATCATCAGGATACAAAAATAAAAATGTCCAATACAGTTAAAAAAAATACATTATCAGATTACTGTTCCATTTATACAAAAAATGCATTAATAACTAGCAGGATAAGAATGTATCATATTTTAACGAACAATTTATTATGAAGCACATGTGCACATTGAAAGAAGTAACATGAAACGAGAAACCAAGATATTTATCTTGGTTTTCATTGTTCTGTTGTTATACAAATAATTATCTTATTGATATGTATTTTGTCTTGTATTTTCTTGCATTGGATTGATATTAAATAAATCAAAAAGCAATGGGTAGTTATCAGGTTACATTACTGTTATATTGTATTTAGGGATGCATCAATGCTACATTTCTTGGCCGATGCCGATGTTAATTAAAACTATTTGGCCGATGCCAATGTTTTATGTTTTTTGAATAATTTTTTCGCGCAAAATGGTTTCAGTTTCAAAGGCTGAGCAAGTTCGTTATTATAACATAGTACGCTGTTTAGAAAGTACGCAGCGGATCACCTGCAGCTCTGCCCGCTGTGAGGGGACCGGTGAGCGGAGCAAAACACACCTTTAGAGTTAGACCTATCACACTTAGCTATTTTATCTACCTCTGAATCTACCTAAACTAGTTATAAATATATTTATTCTTTACTGTCGGATCACTCATTAGTGGATCAGCGAGCTGCATGAGACGGATACGGATGGGCTGTCAGGAGAGGGGGAGAGGAACACTTTTTGCAAACCGCAAATCGTGGATCTCTGAGTGAAACTGAAATAGTCCCACAGTGCCGACATGTTGTTTTTTGTTTTCTTTAGTTAATGTTTTTTTTTAATATAAACGATCTACCGGTGCCGCAGATGTTATGACGGAACGTGAACAAAAATAACAAAAGCATCAGCGGCTGCCATCTGTGAATGTCACCTCATTTGCCGATGTGCCGATAGCAGTAAATAGGGCAAACATCAAGTTTTAGGTTTTTCTTTGTCCTCACGTTCACTTCTCTCAAGCTCTTTCATTATGGGTTGTTGGAGGATGTCAGCTCTAGTGTTGGACGGTGCACCATTACTCGAAAGGTGCCTCCCTGCAGCCGTTGTCAGCTGCTCTAAGAGACTGTGTTTGTTGTTTGAGATGATGCTGCTATTTTAGTTAATAAGGATTCTTGTGTTAAACTTTCCTGTCGGCTCCCAGACCATAGTCGAGGAAAACAGGGGATGACGCTCTGCAGTCTTCCAGGGCCGAAGCAACAAACTTTGGGTTAAATAACCCACATTTCAATAAGGCAGACAGGCGAGCTCTTCTTTGGCAGGCCGTTGCATTTATTGAGGTCTTTGTTACAGATCTAACTTTGAAGACACTCAACAGACCTATTTTGCTGCTGCTTCGTTCGCTTCAAAACACATACCACCTCACTCGCTCGCTCTACCATGCACACACACAAATGCACGCGCCACACCCATCTCTCTCCCTTAAAGGGAAAGCGATCTGACTCTGTATGGCCCTAATATCATAACACTTGTAATTGTACCTTAAATGCCATTGCTTATTCTTCTTTAAACTCCTCCTCCTCCTCCTCCTCCCCCTCTTGCTGTGCAACAGTATTCCACTATTGTTCTTCAAATCTTTATTCTTCAACTTCAAAAAACATAGGAAACCCTCTCTTACGTTGAAAAAAAGAAGAAAATTAAGCAAAAAAATGAAACAAAATGCCTCTTGAGGGCATGAAGTGACAAAGGCTTTCAACATGTCTCCATCATTGTAAATTCAGCCTCATCTTTCATCACAGCCGCACACCTTTAGTTAATCTGCCAATAAAGCCACATTATTCACCCAAAAGTACACAAAAAGCACACTGAGACGCTCCTCGCGGTACTGACATGCTGCACGCATTGACATTTTACCGATAGCTGCTATGGTTATTCAACAAAAGTTAGAAATGTAAGAGGTTTATCTCTCATTCAGATTAATGGAAAGATCACTGCACATCTCCATGGAAACCTTTGATCTCTGGGCACACAGGTGTTATGATTAGGTGCTCAGCACAGACAAAAAACCCGACAAACAGACTGGAGTTTAATAGACTGTCTCAGCCTATACTGTCTGATGGAAACTCCAAACACACTTCAACATCTTCCACATATTTTATACATTATTGGTGACACATGGTTTTAGTTAAAAAGTTTGCAGTTAAAATATTCTGCTGCTTTTCCAAGCCTTTTTACTTTCCAAATATTCCTGCTTCTTCACTTTCTTCTTACACATTACATTTCAGCATAGCTGTTCAGCGTCAGCTTTTCAGCATAAAGCATTCCCACTAGCAATTTCTTCAGGAATTGCATTCTCTAGTTGTTTTTCTCCCCCTCTCAACCACACACACCTTCAAAATCACACTAGGTATATTGAAAGTATTTGTTTTTTAAATAAACACTCGCAAAACGTTATACCTACCTGAACTTTATACCTACCTGAATGTTCCAGTATTTAGGTCGTGCCACTCCCTGAAACAGTTATTTTTGACAGTGAAGCACAGAGGGACCTGGCACTTCCTGCAGTACACAGGTGTCTTCACCCTTTTGAGTCCAGCATCTAGGCCCCTCCTGCAGTTCTTCCTGACCTTGGTGGCATCTTCCCCATAATACTCGGGCATGTATGTGAGTGGTGGAGGAGGGGGTGGTGGAGGTGCAGGGCCTTCAGCAGGGCCTTCAGCAAACTCCAACAATTCTGCAGCAAGCTGCTCCCTGAAAGTCTTCTGGGTGTGTGGCTTTGTCCTGCTGGGGTCACTCCTCATCTAACAAATGTGGAAAAACAAAGAGATTAGATTAATTCACTGGCTTATACTTATAGGATAATATTGGACTATAAATGAATAATATTACACCAAATAAATAGGTAAACACATGTATATTCATTCACTGGCCATTCATTTAGAAAATGTAACTCCAAAAAGACAAGTAACACTATTTAGCATTTTGCCTAATCATTCCTGTAGCTTATTGGCTAAGCTAACACTGTGATGCAGTTCCACCAAACACAAAAGTAATATATAAAAAGGATAATATTGGACTATAAATGAATAATATTACACCAAATAAATAAGTAAACACATATATATATATATATATATATATATATATATATATATTCATTCACAGGCCATTCATTTAGAAAATGTAACTCCAAAAAGACAAGTAACACTATTTAGCATTTTGGCTAATCATTCCTGTTGGCTAAGCTAACACTGTGATGCAGTTCCACCAAACACAAAAGTAATATAAAAAGGATAATATTGGACTATAAATGAATAATATTACACCAAATAAATAAGTAAACACATGTATATATTCATTCACTGGCCATTCATTTAGAAAATGTAACTCCAAAAAGACAAGTTACACTATTTAGCATTTTGCCTAATCATTCCTGTAGCTTCTTGGCTAAGCTAGCACTGTGACGCAGTTCCACCAAACACATAAGTAATATATAAAAACAGAGAGATTACATACCTTTCCCGTGGTGGAAGTTCAACATCCGAGTCACTACTGTCCGGATCCAGGTCTGGCTGGAGGAGATCTTCATCATCCGACGAAGAGTCATCTGGTATGATCATAGCCCCGCTATCGTCAGCTAGCATCTCTAGCACCAGCTCGGTGGTGAAGCTCTCCCTTCTGGCTGCCATTATTTGCTAAAATGGAAAGAGGATACACAAGAAAAAGATCTAAAAGCAAAGAAATTAACGTCCTTGAAATGTGCTCGGTTTCCTGTTACCTGCTATCGTCGCTGCGTGCTGTGGGGCTGTGGTGCTGTCCTGCTGCGGTCTTGCTGCGTAATGCGTAATGGAGCCGGAGCGGGCGTAGTTTATACCACGCAGGATCATATATTTGAAACCCATTGGTCGATTTGGGTGACTGATACCTTTTCTGAACCGTTAGAGCCAATAGAATCGAGTGACAGTGAGTAAGTCCCTCTAAACACTTACGTCAAGTAGAGAGAGGTTTGCGTAAACAGCACGTGAGACAGCATTAGCTCGGGACTGCGAAACTTTATACCTACTCTGCTGCCATGAATGTAATGATAGATTATCAGGAACAATTCTAAAGTGACTAATAGACATTGGATTAACCTTAAACAGTGTTTTTATTCCCTTGAAACACGAGCTTTGATCACAAAACAGCAACGGTAAGACATAATTATTGTTATGGTTTTGAAAACTGTTGTTTTTTTTCTTCTCTGTTCTGGCTGCTAGCTCAGTTCGTTCTTGTCGTGCAGTGATGATACTTATAAAAAAATAATCTGTGGAGTATCAGCTTTCAGATGATATGTAGTTTGTGCAGAAATTATTAAGTTGTAAAGATCGTTTTTGCTAGTTAGCACCGGAAGTAGCATCTGCCCGTTTTAGCTAAGGGCTAATGCTAACGCTTCTTGTGAGACTTGTGTTTTGTTTCGGTAAAAATGGTTCGTATCGTCAGTTAGCTGAGATTCTTCTCGTTAATCTGGTATAACACATTAATAGGTTTTTAAATATTAAGATGCCCTGAGACCAGGGGCGGATCTACGGGGGGCAAGGGGGGGGGGCAGCTGCCCCCCCCCACTGTAGAGCCTTTCCCCCCCAGCTGCCCCCCTAACTTTTGTTTCCCTAAAACTGTACTAAAACAAACCTACACTATTTCCACAAGCTTCTCAAGCAACAAAACAAGCATTACATTAGTTAAAAGTGAATCATTTTAAATATCATTTTAGGCCCGTTAAAAACGCAGCTACGGCCCTGCATTAAACTGCGGAGCGGCGTTCACACAGCCCGCGGCTCACACCGCTGCAGAGAGGGAGCGAGCTGTCCCAGCACCTATGGATCAGCTTCCCCTTGGAGCATTTCCCTTTCCACTAGTTTTGTTTTAACTAAGGACGAGAGCTTGAAACTAAATATTAATAAAACGCTTTAGTTTGAATCGATAGCGTTTAACAGACGGGCGCTGTTTGGGGCGTTACGTTACAAAATACTACGCAGACAGCGTTAGCTGGGAGATCGATCACTTTGCTAAACTACGCGGTAGCCTACTATTAAATCCACGTAAACTACACATCACAGCCATGAGGCCAGATCAATGAAACCAGGATACATCCTTTACCGTAAAAACTGGATCCAAACACAGCTGCCTGTGTGCGCTTGATCAATACTTTCTGATGTTATATTTATGATATGATACATATTAGCTAGGCTACACGGCCCTAACGTGTAAAGTTATACAAGCATTTGTACCAGTGCTTTTCACAAGTAGACTCTTGCAGGCCAGAGTATAGGAGTGATTCAACAACGACAAAAAGACATATGAGAAGTGATCAGGATGAACAGAAAGAGGAAAAGGAAAAGAGAGTTCACTGAAGAGACCAGGAGGGTCAGAGCAGGAGGAAGAGGAGGAGATGAAGAGACCAGGAGGGTCAGAGCAGGAGGAAGAGGAGGAGATGAAGACATTAGTGAAGAAGAATAAATATATGTGAGGAATAAAGATGAAGTATCAGAAAGTGGGACAGAGGCAGGGATCAGGAGGCAGATGAAACTCCAGCTGGACCACATGGTATGTTCTTATTCTCCTTACATATTCCATTACAGCAGCACAATCTAGCAGCTCTTAGTATTGACAAATATTGATTGAAATGTGTTGCTGCACAGGTCACCTGTCGCTCTCTGAAGAGACGGGTGATTTCATTTGTGTACTTAATTATAATTAAGTACTTACAGTATACGGAATTCTGAGTATTCTCTGAATCGGGTGCCTTTTGGGTCTTTATATCTTTGAAAAATGAAACCAAAATGTTTGGTCATAACATCTGGTAGTAGACTACTTACATTTTCCCACCTCAGGCACAACATATAAATAATTACTAGGAATTTCCTTGAAAAAATGTAACAGGGTTGACGTTTTTGACAAAAAGTAGGCATGAGACCTTGTTTAGCTAAAATATGGCACCACATGGAAGTCAAGGACATTACAAAATTGTAATATTTTGCAAAACTATTGTTTATTTTTGTAATAAACAATTATTTACTATTATTAATTCATACAACATAGTTGAAATGTTGAGCTTGTCAATCTTAATCTGAAAATACAAAAACTGAAATATAGGTAAGAGAAGAAACTGACACTTTTGTGATGTAATTCCCTCAATGCAGATCACACATGGAGAGCAGTGCATGTGTTAACCTCTCTGATATTAATAGATAATAAAGATTGGAACTCTATTCTTAATACACCGCCTCTGACTCTCTTTTCACGGCACTACAATGGTGACCCTGACTTTTCAGATAAAGTTTCCGGAAAATTAACGAACATGGCTGAGCGCGATGTTTTCATAAAGCTGCCGGAATTCTGGGAGCACGCCGCGGAGGCATGGTTCACACACGTGGAGGCACATTTCGCCTGCCGACAGGTCCGTGACGGGGACCTGAAATACTACCATGTGGTAGCAGCGCTGGGGAGCTCCACGTCGTCCAGGTTGGTGGGATTTATCACAGACCCCCCACACCATGGCAAATATGAGGCGATTAAGGCCCTTCTCCTTAAGACATTTAACTTATCTGCTAAGGAGAGATACTTGACATTCAAGGCCTAGGAGACAGCAAGCCTTCCCAGCTAATGGAGAAAATGCTAAATCTGCTAGGGGGGGAAGATCCCCAGATTTTATTCACGGAGATTTTCCTGCGTCACTTGCCTCCCCGCGTCCAGACGGCGCTGGCCAACACGCCTGTCACGGAGCCCCGTGCCTTGGCTGAGGAAGCGGATCGCAGAGACGTTAGCCACGACGCTCAGCGGCCCATCTGCAGTCAAGAAAGCGTGGCGGAGGCAGGACACGGCTGTATCGAGCCGGCGTGGAGACACCGGAGAGTGCTTTTACCACGCACGTTTCGGGACAATGGCGAAGAAATGCATCGCCCCGTGCTGCTACAAACCCCCGGAAAACGGAGGGGCCGGCGCTCAGTAGTGGCCCTGAGCGTCGGCAGCACGTGCAGGCTCCTCTTCGTCAGCGACAGCGTTTCGGGGAGCCTGTTTCTGTGTGACACGGGCGCTCAACGGAGCGTAGTTCCAGCGTCGAGTGAAGACGTCACCCGGGGTGGGCACGGACCGCGATTGACGACGGCTAACGGCGGTCCCATTCACACGTACGGCGTGAGGCCAATGTGTCTGTGCATCGGAGGACAGCGTTTCAGCTGGGATTTTGTGACAGCGGACATTTCTTTTCCCCTCCTCGGAGCGGATTTTT